AAATTGACATCTAATGATTTACATAATTGATCAACGGCAATAAAATGGACAAATTGATCTTCATAGAAGATCTACATAGCAATAAAATGGACAAATAAACTACCAATTAAATCTATCTAAAATTTTACCCGTCACAGTGTATAAACTTGAGAAATTACGTCATTATCTAAAATGGGATTCAAAAATGAATTTGTTGTAAATGAAAATGATACAATATCACATTCAGATATAATTAACTATTGCTTATTATATGCATTCAGAGAATATACTCAAGAACATAATACCTGCTGCACCACATGTGATCAATTGTTTGTACTTATTAGATATTTAGTTAATATGCTTTCAGAAAATTTACGAACTACAGTTGAAGAGTCGTAAAATAAGCTTTACTATTTTCTTGCTTACTAGATAAGAAAAATTTATCTGAATAATTAATTCAAAGCGAAATTATTAGATCTTAATGAAGATGACGCAATTTTGATATGTGATTATAAAAATGAGGATCCTACCTAAAAGTGCTTATGAAACTAAGGAGCAATTCTTTAGAAAATGGGGATGGACTCTTCATACAATTTTGGTTTTTACAAAGTATAATGGTTTGAATCTGGATGTACATGTATTTGACCATTAGTCTATTGATACCAAGTAAGATGCATAGTATACTGCATCATCTTTTGATACTATTTTTGAAACACTAGAACTAAAACCAAAATGAATTAAAATTTTCTTTGATAATGGCGGGCATTATCACAATTTAAAATTAATGACTATTTTTGCAAATTGGAATCAATAGTATAATATTAATGTTCATGAGTAGTACTTTTTTAAACCTGAAAAAGTGAAAACTATTGTTGATTCACATCATATGCAGGTAAGATTTATTGAAAGAGGAACAACTCATTTCTCCCATAAATATCTATCTTGAATTTACCTTAAACAAGATAATAGCTTATGTAAATTTAGATATCTTGAAAAGCCAACTGAAAATCTGAACTTTGATATAGAAAAGTGTAATTATTATTTAGTAAGAGTTTGTTATATTTGAATTTTTCTTCTAAATTGCTCATTCTATCAAGAGATATATAAGAGTTGGTTATAATTTAGATAGTGGTGAGAAAATAGAAGATGTTATAAAGAATTTGAGTAGAACTTCTATTGTTTATCTAAAGCTAAAACGTAATCACGTACCTGTTAAAACAATATCTAATATTGACAAATTATCATATTTTGAATGGCTGATTAAAGGACCATTCACTGGCTATATTCAGGTACAGATCTTATTATGTATAGGTAAATGGACACGTTATTCTCTAGCTGACATTTTGAAGTTGATCAAAGAATCCTTACATAAGCTAATTCCTGATGTTTTTGCCTATACCAAACCAAATTCAATATAGAACTTTCCTATTATTTGAACTAAAGATAAGATAGTAAATTTTCTGTTTGTTTATTTAATGTAAGAACCTAACTTTTTTGCAAATATTACAGATAAATCCACCACCACTTTTGAAAGTACAAATCGTCCTATAGGTATTCAATTGTATATGCTGTAATACCATAATACTATAGGAATAAATTATTGAAGACTATAATTATTATAGATCATCAGTAAATTTAATAATGCGAAGTATTACGTAAACCCTACGCTTCGTAATCTTACGTAAGGTTACGAGCCCGT